TTAAATTGTCACTTTGTAAGTGGTTCTTCTGACACCTTTAAGGCTGTGCACAACTGCCTTGAAGAAAACAGATTCTGAATTTAGGTGACAGCTCCCTTTGTAATTTTTAGCAAAAACTGCTGGTACAAACCACTCTGTGGTTCAGTATAGTTCCACTGGAATCATCAGAAAAGGACCTGTTTCTCAGTCTTTAAACTGCACAGAGTTTAACAGGTTTGCAGGTCGTTATTCTCAGGACACTTCCCTGAGGAGACCTCTTTAAAACAGCTTCATGTTGCTCTACATTCCTCGTGGCAGTCTGGGATACAACCTTTCCTACTTCATTTTCCCTGTCAAGAAAGATGAGTAAGACAGCAGTAATGGAAAAGCATCCAAGAAAGACGTCTCAGTGGAGACACTGGAAACCCAAATCCAGATTTGGCAGCTGTTCCTGGTTTGCATGTCCAGATATGGGATGCATAATTCCTCCAAGACAAGGAGATAACATCTGATCATTCTGTGTAGAGGAAGCCTTAGAAATGCTTCTGTCATTCAAATTTTCACAAAGGAATTATAATTTGTGGTTATTCGTGCACTGCATAGGCAGATGGAAGCACAGCAGGTAGATAAATACTGACATTCTCTTCTCTGAATACCTTCAAAAGAAAGGTCAAAGGTAAGACAGGGAGTAAAGTGAATGTAGATTAGGCAGAACATCTGTTGAAGTGGGATAGTAGGGAAAATATTCATTGCTTTTCAAATAGAAGCTCTGCTTAAAAAATGGTGATGGGCATCTGCTTAGTTATAAATTCTTTGCCATCCGTAGCATTAGTCTTTCAATTAAAAAAAAAAAGTAAGAAGCACAATTAGCCTTAAGAGATAATTCACTCGTTTCCATATTGTAATACCAGAACTTGCTTGGGCTAGAAATACAAGAGGGTGGTTTAGCAAATATCTGGAGCACAGGAGGTGGGGATGAAGGGCACTTTGGGCAATGTCACAGTCCCATTTAGTAAAAAATGAGAGTCTGGGTAGATGTGGCTGTGGGCAGTGTCCCTGGTATGGTGCTCCCAGCAGGGCATTGCCCTTGTGCAGCAGCAGGGCAGACCTGGCTCCACTCATTTCACACCAAAAAATCAGTGACATGAAACGTGCCCAGTGTTCTTCCCTCCTCCCACTGCCCTGATCTCAGTGAAGGAGTGAGGATGGGCTGTTCTCCACATTTTTATGTAACCAAAAAATCCCACTAACCAAACTGAGCATGTGCATGAAATACAAGATGTCTCTGCTTCCTCTTGAACTCTTCATTGATGCTCTGCTTCTCAGGATTGACTAAATACAGTCAAAATACTAATTTCATTTCCATTTCCTTGATATTCCATTTTTCACCGCTCTCAGTTCTTGCTTTAGCACATTCCCCATTCTGTGTTTTTATGAGACCAATTGTTTGTAATGTGTGAGGGAACAGATGTCAACACAATTTAAAGATAGTGGGAAGAGGCAATCCTTTTCCTCCTGACCTTTTGGCCAGAAAAATCCCCTTTGAAATCAGTAAGAAAATGACTGCTAATATTACAATGACATACACTAATAAGGCACCTGTCAACCCAGAGCAACCTTTACATCATTCCATGTGCAACTGCAGCTCTCTGAAGAAGTTAAACAGCAGTGAATAAAACATACAAACAGGCAGGTGGCTTATTCTGTGACACTAATGTGCTGCATTTCTCTCCCTGTTCCTTTTGCTGAGCACCTAGTGGCTCTATACTGAGAGTTAAAGGATTTTCCATGCGTTCGTGTGCCTGTGCACATCCACACACACAAACCCATCCTTTTTAGTCTGATACTCAACTGCAACTGTTGCTTTCAGTGCTCTGTTGATTGGAACCTTCATGATGATGTTAATGGGCAGTTATATCCTATTTTCTTTATTTTCCTAACCTTGTAGCTAACATGTACACTACAATGAAGGGGCTGAGCGAGGACAAATTTGGATTTTGCTGTTTGGATTTTGCAATTGATCATTTCCACCTGGGATCAAAAAACACCTTTTCCAATAGCCAGGGATGATGTGTGTGGTGGGAAGGTTGGCTGATAGTGCAGGTGCTCCCAGGAGGAGGGAGGCATTTTTCCTGAAGTCATGCAAAACCAAAGTATTGATTACACAGTATCAATAGCATCCTTTTAAGAGCAGCTGATGCTTCCACGGGGTCACGTTGCTGTACCTTCCCTGCTTCATTTCCCATCTGCTGTTGTTTTCAGAACCTTTCCAACTTTCCCCCCCAAAGATGTAATATCTAAGCATTCTCCAAATTAAAGACTTATCATCTTTAAATTACTGTCTCATATCAAGGACCTGCTATCACTGGGGAAAAAGCTTTGCCCATAAACACTTCACATACATGAAGGACTCGCTGTTGAAAATCTTTCCATCAGTTGCCTTCCCTTTTAAAGGATGTGGTTTTGCTGGAGATGGTGTCCAGCTTCAAAGACTCCAGGTTTCTGTCCCAAGCCCTTTGAAGGGCTCTGCTGCTTTTGGCCAAAGGAGTTGAGTGCAATGAGTGGGGAGAATTTCTAAAACCTGGCTTTAAAATTTGGTGCTGGTCTTGGAGATTTTATTTCTTTTTCAATCAAAGCTTCTCTCAGACAAACATGTCTTGGGAAGATTTGCTTCTAACTCTGCCTGAGAAGGGACACAGAATGGTGAGTTTTTCCTTCTCTTTATCTGATTCAAAACCCATGAGACATCTCTATTTGCTATGCCACGTATACAAATATTTAACACTAACCATATGTTTCTACATTTTCTTGAAGCCTAAAATAATTTCTTAAATCATCCTTCCTTTTCAACTTCTACATTAGAGTGCCTTTTTGGCAGCCTAAACTGCTCAATGTTTAAGTGAAATTTGTTTCACGAGAGAGATTCTGTATCTGTGTATATTTGCTGTTTGTGATGAGTTCATCACAAAGAGCTGCAGTGGGATGACTTGTAGAGTCCAGAAATTATCTGCTATAGCCAAACATGCTGGGACAACTGGATACATTAGCTTCAACTCAGGGGTATAAAACGATGAGCACTAAAAATCAAGGAAAGTTAGAGAGGAACAACAGATTCTGCAAGAAAAATGGCAGAGGAGGAGCCTATTCAATGATAAGGCAGGTTTGGTTTATAGTTATTATAAAACTTGCAGTTAAAAAACCCCTCAGGGTGAAGGCCAGACAATACCCCATTGTGTAATGAGTGGGGTCAGGGCTTCACCTTTTACCAATTACCTGCAAAGAGCAAAGCTTTCCTGCACTGAATAACAATCATCAGTTTTTGCCAGTCTTGAGCTGTGGGGCTGAACCTGCTTTACATGAGCACTTTACAGGCTGAACCTGCTTTACTGGCTGGATGTGCACAGCCAGGTGCACAGCCTTGTTCTGATGAGGTTTTAAAGTTGTGTTAGAAACACAAGGAGATTAAATGAAGAAAAAAAGATCCAGGCAAATAAAAGCCAGAAGGGGAGTCTAAAAAAAAAAAAAAAAATCAGTACAAGATGGGTGGAAAACTCTCAAAAAATGTAACTTCATTCTCCTAAACATAATAAGTCTTTGGTTTTGAAATGTCATAACATTCATCCAGCTCTGAGGGAGGACTCTAGAAAAGACCTGGATTTGGCCCATGATCCATAACTTAGATTTGGAACCATTTCAGTGCCTTTTACCTTTTCACACCACTCTTTAATAGAATAGAGAGTGTGACACATCAGCAGCTGGAAGTGAGTTGCAAGCTTGAATGTGGAGAGAAGATTCTTGTCTGAAGACAAATTTAGATACAACCTTGTCAGCATTATCAGCTCATGGGAGAATCCAAATTCTAAACTTGGTGAGTGTTGGAACACCTTGCAGTGTTTTTGCTCAGGTAATCACATTAGGATGCATAATGGAAACCATAATGATATAAATATTTAATTCTTATAACTAAGTTCTAAACAGTAGAGAAATGTTGTCATAATTAATTTTCAGCCGGTAACTTTTTTCTTCCCCTTTCTAATTAGTAGAGTACAGATGAGATGCTACTGCATAATTGATAAAAACTATGTTTTTAATTGTGTCTATATGATCATTCTTACATAGCTACATCAAATGAATCAAGTGTCATTGCCTTTAACACAGCTCAAGGGCTAGACAGGATATAGCAGTAATTTTATGCTGGCAATAGACTCCTATTAATGCTCATTGCTCTTCATCTGAAGACATCAAAGTTCCTTGCAAAGCTGCATGGAATATTCTTCTTTCACATATGGAGAACTGGAGGCTCAGAAAGATTAAAACTCACATTTTTTAATCAGGAGATCATTCAATCATGAGATCAAAATAAGTGAGTGGTGCTAAAATCCTCAGTCTAGAAGATTTACACATCCAGGAATCAAGCATGGATTTCTGAACCATGCTTTAGCCCACCTAAATTAAAACATGCCTTATTCATTGGTCATACAGGATGTCCAGGGAGATAATATAACTGATAGACATGATTTCAAAAACATCAGTAATAGCTTTGCACTCTGGGAGAGCAACTTGCCCTGTCAGGCCTTCCCAGCTGTTCAGAGCTGGGAGAGCAACAAACACTTAAACCCATGTTGGAAAAGCAGTGTCGACAACAGCAGGCAGATATTGATCCAAATTTACTAAAGAAAAAATTACCTGGAAAATTAGAAAACATCAAAATTGGTCTTTCCAAGTGAAGGATTTCAGAGCCCACACCAGCTCTTTTGGGTGTGACTTGGAACATAAAAATAACGATTTCTTAATTCATCCACCAAGTTGAAAAATCAATTATTACACTCCTCAGCTCTAGTGAACTGTTTGTTCCTTAATGTAATGACAATTGTCTTCCAAGCAAATTAAGTCCAGCACTAGAGAAAATAAAATATTCATTAGCAGAGTTATTAGAAAAGTAGATCAAGTTATATTGAGGCAGTTTGTTTTCCATGTTCCTTACAAGGTGCTTGTAACAAACACCATGTTGCCTGATTTTAGGTAACATCAGGACAGTCTTGCTGTTCTAGGATAAAAAGTTTCCCATCCAATTCCTGGAAAATCCCACACTGAAGGTAAAAGCATAGACTGGAGTTTTTCCTGAATGACCTTTGCTTCTATTGAGTACAAGAGTTTAAGTGGAACAGGATGTGGCAGCTGTGTCTTGGGAAAGAAGGGCTGTAGTGTCACAACAGATGTGAAGAGAGGACTGAAAGCTGCATTTTAGTCCTGTGGTGTGTCCTGACCCAAGAGTAACACAAAACCTCTGCCTGAAGAAGCTACATGTATACCATCCTGAAGGATGGAGGAATTCCTTAATACAGGAGGAAATGTAATCAAACTTCTTGATTTTTCCCTTTTGCACAAACTTGTGGCTGATTTGGGTGCTTTTTTTTTTTCCCGGTTGAGGAAAAGAACTGAACAGTCCATAGCAGAACAAGGAGTGTCTCCCACATTGCCTGTACAAAGAGCTTTTAGGCTCTTGAACTTCTGTTGACACTTAACATCCCAGAGATGGCTGTGGAAAGTCAGGCCCTGAGCACAGCTTAGGTGCTTATATCCTTTCTGGGAACTCTTGGATGAGAACAGGGATGTGCTGAACTTCTGGGGTGTTTTCCCTTTTCTTTAATCCACGTGAAATTCAAACCATCTCATCATCTGAGTGTCAAAGTCATGGTGAACCTTGACTACAACCTCTTCTACTCAGACACCAACTTTCTACTCAGAGCATGGCTGCCCTGACACTCCAAGACAATTCTCACTCATCCAAATAATCCTTTAGATTAATGTTAAAGCAGCAGCACAGAGTTGATTCTTGGAAGCAAAACTGGCTTCATTTGACAGAATTTAAAAAATTGTTATAATTATTCTCTGTGATCTCTCTGAAGTGGAGGGAGAAAGGGAAGGGGAAGCAATTACCTTGTTTGTGTGTGTTTATATATTATGAATTTTCCTTCTTTGTTACATCTGGGAATCTGTAGTGCAACTGTCAGTGCACAGTGCACAGTGATTTAGGGGTTTTTGAGTGTTGGAACTAATCTCTGCTTTCCTGGGAATATTAAGATACACGTTGCCCTTGTGTTCACTGACCTAGCTAGCTAATGGTAAAGAAAAAAATACTATTTGGAGTAATAATGGGCAGCATCTGAATAACTGTTAATTACTGCAGACAAGCTTAGCTCATGTGATGAATGTAAACATTGCCTTTGAATATGAACTTGCATTTGTCACAAAGCAGAGAGTAATAAGGACCTGACCTGAGAATAAATATTTTTGGATTAATTAGTGGCCTACTTGCAGATACACAAAGCAATTGGCTCGGTTTTATTTTTTTCTAAGAAGTATTTTAAGTGTGTACTGCGGCTCTCAGCAGCAGATCTCAGTGCATTCTGCAGGATTGCTTTGGAATGGAAGAAAAAGGTACTAATTTGGGCTTCAGATGAATGAAACAGGTGGAGGAAATTCTTTCTAGAGATGAGACAGCCCAAGTAGGCAGAGTCATTCTGTGTTTTTGCAAGCTGAGGCTTATCAACAACCCCTCTCTGTTCAGTGTGGTTCTAACAAGAGGGTTATCCAGTCCTGTCACCACTGGCAATAACCATCTTCTCTTGTTAGCTCCTTTTTAAATGGGCTGAAGAGGCATGGAAGGGGCTGGAGCTCAACACTCCAGTTCAAGGAATCACCCCTGTTAAGAAGGGTTCTTGAATGCATGCTGAAGTTTAAACACGTATTTAAATGCTTTTCAGGGTGGTTTATAGCACACAGTAACTGCTTTCCTGCCTCAGGGCTTTAATTAGGAGATGATAGTGAGCATCTGTGCTTGCTGGCTGGTGGAGGGGACTGAGGAGAGAGCAGGAAAGCATCAGGCAGGAGCCAGAAATACAGTTTCTTTTGGGTGTTTGTTTTAAAGGGTTGGAGATTTCATCCTCCAAAGATGAGTGTGTCTCTCTAATATCTTCTTTGTCTTATTATGAAAAAAAAAGACATCCTGAAATTTTGTACGACAGATTTGATCAAATATCTTTGACGTTAAGATTGGTTTAAAACAGGATCTATAGAAAGGAGAGTGCTGCTAAGAGCCAGGAATTTTAATTATAATACATTGCAAAGCCTGATTTGTGGGTCTTTAGGGTGATTTAGATCAAACTGCTCAGTGCACACAAGATGGAGACAGGTCTGGCAGGCAGGGAAGCAAAACTGTTGTTTCCTAATTTATTAGTAAGAAAATCCTTAAGTTTTATAAGGGCAAGGCGAGTTCAAGCACTACATTGCTGCAGGTGGTACCTGTGCTCAATCTCTTCACCCACATCTGGCCTCAGTTTGATCTGTAAACATCCTCTTTCATGCTGAGGAAGATATTGTGCAGATTGTTGAAACTGTAAAAATGGGAGGGAGAGAAGCACCCCCACATTCCTCTGCCATAAAGCCCCTCAGGATCACTGGCAAAGGATCCACTTGTTTCCTGATGAAGTACTGAACATATATGTGCCTCTCATTTTTGTTCCCACATTTGAGGACAGGTAGCAGTGACATCTGCCAGCAGGATTCCCTTTTTGTCTCCTTGGCTCTGAGATTGCGCCCATACACCGTAAAATATTTTGTACCATCTCTGTTTGAACTTTCTTCACATAATTGAGAGACACAGATATTGCCCAGATTGGTTGAACAGCAATGATAAATAATATTGTCAAAATTCTAATGGATCTTTCCACAGCTTTCAGCCAGTTAACAAGAATAAGCTCTGCTAGCAGAGAGGTGAAAAGAGATGCAATGCATGCCTTATATCAAAAGGGGGGTTTTCTTCTCCAGAATTTCAAAAGAAGCCATTTCACTACTTACATAGTACCCCTAGAATTTTATCTCTCTCTAAAAAATAAAAATCAAAGGGCCAGAGATCTCTCCAAAAGAAATGGTACAATATTTTCTTGTTGACAAGAAAATCTAGTTTGTGCCTCCATTCAGAAATAAGAGTACAATGATCAGTCATTCTTCTTTCTTTCTGGTTAAAAAGGGGGAAAAGGTTCAGTAAGAACAGCAATATAAAACTCAACAAGAGCCAAATGTTGATTATTCTTCCCCTAATGTAAAATTATTTCTTGACATTGCTGAGGATGAAAACAATGTTATTTGTGCTCAGGTAGTTCTCACCAGCACCTTCACCATCAGTACTGCAGCTTCTGGAGCAAGGCAAGGAGAAAAGGGGGAGGAAATTCCCACCTCTGCTTCTTTCCCTTTGGTTCTTGAGCTTAGATTTGCATTTCTGGAAACAAAGCTGAAGGCTGTCCAAGCATGAACCCCGAGTTCTTCCATTCTTAGCATGATTTAATAATCATAATGTGGTGACACAGAGCTTAGCCAGGTTGTTGCCCATTGCTTGAGGCACTGAAAGGCAGCCCCTGTCCTAGAGAGTCAGCAGGACTGAATGTTGGGTGAAATCCAAACCAGCAGCAGAACACCAAATCTTGGGAGTTCTGGGGGCCACCAAACTGCCCAGCTGGCCACAGTGGCCATGGCAGGGACCTGGGGAGGGGCACAGAACACAAAGCCTGGCAAATGGATTTCTTGAATTGCATTGCTCAAGAAAAAGCTTTTCTTTTACAGTTCTGGCAGCTACTTTTTAAGATACTGTTCACTGAGCTTTCACTTATGCATCTGCTTACAATTTTCAGCTGACCAGATTATATATGACCTTACAGTTTTCTCTCTCCTCCTGTCTAATATGAAGCATTTTGCCTTTTGTTCTGGGCTGTTTCTTGCCTTCATTACTTTCTTCCATTAATCTGTTTCACGACTGTGTTTTCTTCCCTTAAGTGCAACATTTTCACTTTCTTGAGCAATGGACTGAACCTTTGCTTTTAACAAATTGGTTTTTATAACATTGTGACTTTTCAATAGCTTTTAGGGAACTCTTGGCTAACAAAAGAGAATTTGGGGGAGTTTCAGCTATCTTTAGGTTAAGTGAGGCAGGGGAGGAACAAAATATTTGAACGAGCTGTAGCAGAAACCACTGCAACCTGATTATCTGTTTGGAGGCAAAATTGATCCTAAACCATTGTTATTGTACTGGCTCTGTGGGAAATATAACAGCAGAACAGGGTTTTAATTTAGTTGATTCTCCCATCTCCTCAAGCAAATTTTCAGCTTCTTTTTCAGCTGTATTTTTATTACTTATTTGTCTGCTCTCATTAGTACCAATACCCTTTCATCTTTTGAAAGCTCTTTTAAGGCTGTTTGGTTTCAGCAGCTTAGTAACAGCTTCCTGAGGATAAAATTTAGCAAGAAGCTGAATATTTGTGTATCATTGGGTCTGCCTCTATTTCCAGCCCTTCTCTGTGGTAGGAGGGCTTTCCTGAGCAGGCTTTAATTAGGCTGGAGCACACCATGGATGGTGGACTCCCTGCCCGGGGCCTCGAGGGAGCATAAACAGCAGAGTGTGAGCAAAGCCTGGGGAGATCAGGTGACCTGCAAATGCCCAAACACAGTCACAAAGGAGTTTAAAACTTCCTTCCCTGCTCCTTTCTTATCGCTCTCCCCCAAGGCAGCAACAGAGGAAACTGGAATCAAGATTAACAGCATTGGAGGGCACACTCAGTGCATGTGCCAGCTGATGGGAAGAAATGAAAGTTGCCTTCAAGGTGATCAGCAAAGCCACTGATCAAAGCTTTACTAAGACAGTTTAGTTCATGGACCAAATTATCCCCCGGGCAGTGGCAGATCCAGAAATTTAAGGCTGGTTTGTTTGTTTCGTGGTTTCTCCTGCAACATTTGGATTATCAACCAAAGCTTTCGCCTCTTCCTTGAACTTGTCAGTGTTGGCTGTAGGTTGAATACGTTTAAATCTCTTTGTGCTTTATTTGTGGTTTAATATTTTTGGTCTCTTCTGAAATGTTTGCAGGATCCAAATCTGTGCTGGTTGTGGGAGACCTGCCAGACTTTACTTTCATTTCCTGAGCAGTTGTGTTATTTCCTTCCAACCTGCACCCTTCTTTTGGAACTTGTTGGTCAGAAAAGTTCATGCTCAGAAAAAAGAATAACTTCCACTTTGACATATTTAAAGGCTGGTTAATAGATAAGG